GAAAGCAGGATTTGGGCAGTTGGAGAGAGAAGTGGGGCCTTCCAGCTGGAGAAGAGGCGGCGGAAGGGGGCTTGAGAGTCAGGCATTCTGAGTTCAGAATCTTGCCTCTCTTTCCTGTTTGCCTTATAACCTTGGACAAGTGGTTTGACTCTGAGGCTCAGATGCTTTTCTTGTAGAAGGAGAATAAAGTCCATCCCTCAGGGGCACCTGGAGGAGGGCATGGGATGCATATAAATGAAAGAATCTAACAAAGTGTGAGGCATAGTGTTGGTGTTCGATGCTTGTTTATTTTATTCGTTTCCAGCAGGAAGGGGGATTTGGGGCTTAGCAGCCATCCTGTGGACAGCAGTCTATGGTGAGAGCTCCCTGAGTCTTTTCAGCACCCCAGGCGCACCTAGTGTCCTCAGGCACACTGGGGTTCTATTTACCCTCCCTCCTTTCCTAGGGGTGGACTGGGCACCCCAGGGCCCCTCCCCCTGCGATCTCCGGAGCTGGACCCCTTTGAAACGCCTGCAGGTCTATTTTGAGAGCTGAGCATCTCCCCCCTCCCCTCCTCTCTTCCTGTTTATGAAACCCTGATCCCTCCCGGATCCCTCTTGCTCCTCTGGCTGGAGCACAGGCAGGATGTGACTGTGGACTTCAGGGAGCCTCGAGAGCCTCAGGTGTTGGGGGAAACGTCCCTTGGACTGGCCAGGGCAGACTAGCCCACCCTCCCAGTACCTGGGACCCTGTGGGTGGGCTCTGTCCCTTCTGCCTGCCCAGAGAAGACACTGCAGCAATAAGTCTGCTCATCTAATACAGGGAGAAATTCTGTGTACAATGTCCCTATGCTGCTGTGGCCCATTTTGCTTCTAGAAGCAACCTTTTGAGAGTGGAACATGTCATTTTAACCTCTGTTTTACAGAAGAGGAAGCTGAGACTCAGACAAGGAGAGAGTTTGCCTGGGAGCACTCAGCTAGTGAGTGGACAGCTCAGCTTCCCACTTTTCAGCACCCCTGGCCTCAAGCCTCTCATTCATACTGGTCTCTGTACATGAAGCGTCTTTTTTCTCCTTTCTACTTGGCCAATTCCTGTTCCTTCTTAGGGTCCATTTGAACTGCCCCCTCTCTGGAAGGTTCCGGGACCTCACTCCAGGCAGATGGTTACCACACCTGACTGCAGCTCTGTCCCTGAACAGTTGTGTTTTGTTATCATGTATTTATTTTCTGAATCTATACCTGAGGTCAAGGCCTGAGTCTGCCTTGCCATGTATGACTCTTAGTGTGTGGCTCCTGGCATGGGGACAAAGCAGGGGAACAGTAGCTGTGAGTGATATCCAAAGGGGAGGCTGGCTGGCCATCTTTGCAGGGAGGGCAGTAATGAAATGCTTAGGAGTGTAGGCTTTGGGAGCAAACAGACTTTGATTTTGCTCTTAGCTCTCCTCCTTTCTAGCCATGTGGCCTTGGGCAAGTCACATGACTCTGAGTCTAGTTTCCACATCCTGAAATGGGGTGACAGTACCTCCCTTAGACACAGGACCTGGCAGAATCCACATCAGCAAAGGTTGAAGGAAGGAATGTCCTCATGTAATAAATGCTCAATTTATAGGAGGCACAATTCTCATTGTCGCTCCATGCCAATCCTACCTAGTGCCCGAGGCCAGTGCCCAAGAGCTCTCCCATCGGGGATGCCTGTTGGACCCATCCTCACCTGCCCAGAGGGGTGCTGGGAGACATGTCTGGGAACATATGTCTCACCAGAGGGGACAGTGTCTGGGAGGCCCTACAGATGCTGCCAGCTGGGGAAGGGGATATTGGTGTCCATTAGGGCCAGGGATTGGCAGGTGGGCTTGGGCTATAGCTGGTGGAAGGATCCCCACGGTGGTGACCCTAGGGACCAGGGATTGGGCTAGGGGACTCTGGGCTTCTCTTGCAGCTGTCTTGTGGAAGGAAGTAAATAAGAGGAAGTATTGATAGGGGAGTATGGGGCAGGGACCAAGGGATGTGGTCTGGTGTCTGTCCTTCCCCTCCTGTCACCCAGAGGCTTCACAGGCCCTGCACATACCCTTTAGTGAAGGCACTTCTGAGACCGTTTCCTTCCTATTGCCCCTTCCTGTACCCCACTAGCTGCAGAGCGTCTTCCTTTTCTTCTCAGGGACTTAAGGGTTGGGGGGGAATGCAGCTGGCACTAGACCAGAGAGCTTTGGGGTTCCCAGGGCTGTCCCAGCCTCTAAACCCCTACCCGAAGAAGCTGGGGTGAAACGAGAGGCCTCAGTCTAAGGAAGCATCATTCACAACCCTGGCAGACCATCATCAGACTGTTATTGGAAGCCCCGTGAGGGCTGGAAGGGGAAGTCCGTGTGTACACGGGGGCGTGTGTTTCCACATAGGGGATGTCTGTGGAAATGGTTTCCGATTACCAGCCTGTGTGTGTTTGTGTGTGTGTCAGTTCCTGTGGGTATACTGGTGTGAATGATGCAGCGAGGCCATGTGGAAGAGGGCTGGGCCTGGTTAACCCCTGCCCCAGGCTACGTGCTCCTCTCAGACCTCTGTGGGTTGTTGCCAGGGCCTTTTTACCCCCTTGCCCATCCCAGGGCCCTGGACTGGCAGGCTCTTCAGGGCAGGGCTGGGTGTGGTCGTGCCTGCTCTGTGGGCTGCCATTTTGGGTGGGCCCAGCCGTGGGAAGGTCACTGTGGGGGAAGGAGTATCCACGCTCTGGGCTGTGGCAGTCAGAGCTCATGGCGTTGCTGACTCTGCCCCTCGTTCTCTCAAGAGGATGTTTGCAGGTGCTGGATACGCACTGTCAGCACCTCATCACCTTGGGACTTTGTGTTCCAGTCTCCCCTCTTTGGGATCAGAGGAGATGAGGAGAGGTGTGTCTCTGCCCTCCCCGCTGCAGTCATGGGCTTGGGGTCTGCAGTATCCCCTCAGTTGGGGAGCCTGACCCATCTTCTGTCCCTCCTCCCTGCAGAGGGGGAAGTGAGAAGGAGGGGGTCAGGGACCCTGCCTTCTGGGCCGGCAAGTCTGAAAAGCAGAAGTAAAGAGAGTAACGGGGCCCTCTGGCCACTGGCTTGAGCCCCACCATGCAGACCCCGGCAGATTTACCCAGGGTTGAGAGAGACTCACTCCCCTGTCCCAGAAAGGTGAGCAGAGGGTTGGCCTGCCTCCAGTGGTGTCTGTCACCATGACTCTGGGCAAGTAATGGCTTTAGGGGTGGTTCTGTCCCTTGGGGTTTCTGGGTGATTGGCTCTGTCCCCAGGGAGTGTTCTCAGTCAGAGACAGACAGGTGGAGGCTCAGACCTCAGGGTGGGGTGGGCAAGGGTTGCTGTGTGATTCCCCCCACCCCCACCCCCAGCACCTCTCTGAGCCAGGCTTTCTTCCTGTCCCACCCGGGATTATATACAGCGGCCTGATTAGCCTGTAGCTTTTTGTGGCTGCAGCTTTTGTGGCTTTTGTTCAAGGTCCTCTGAAGATGGGGCTGTGTCTGCGAGGGTCAAGACCTAGAATAGGAAGTTCCCAGACTGACCCTAGTACTGAGGGAGGGGACAGGCTTGGATGGGCAGGACATAGCTGTGGCTGACTTGCCTGCCCACCTTTTCCCAGCACTTGAGGCCTGCCGACCGCAGTCCAGGCAATAACCAGGGGAAGGACTTGGATTCAAGCCGGCTCTGCCACTGGTTCACTTTGAGCTTGGTGAATCGCTGCCCTCTGGACCTCAGTTTCCTGTTCCCGAAATGGGCATAACAGCTTTGGGGATATTTGGATCAGAGTCAAAGCCATCAGATTGTACTCAGATGTCCCTCTTGGTCTACTTTCTTAGTCCTGGGCCACCCCTCAGGGGGAGTGAAATCCCAGAGAAATAGAAGACCTCAGAGATGAGTCTGCCACAAATACTGGACTATTCTCCCAAGTGCTGAGAGTTTGCAGGTGACATCCCCTTACCTCTTTCACCACTCTCAGGCAGACCAGCAAGAACCAGAGCTCTGCCTTTGAGTCCAGGGTCTGACTTTCTGGGTAGCTGTGTCTTTCCTGCCCCTGTGTCTGCCTTGGGTACCTGTCTGTCTGCTTGGGCCTCTTGACTGGCTGTCTCTGTCTGCTGCCCACATGCCTCTGTTGTTGGGCTCTTGTCTCTGTCTGTACTTGATGAGTACCTGTCTTCACCTGTTGGGTACATGTCATGTGTTAGGTGTCTGTTGGTTCATATCCCCTTCTGTCTCTGCCTGTTGAGTATGTTTCCCCATCTGCTTCCACCTGTTGGATGCAAGTCCCCATCTGCCTCTGCCTGCTGGGTCCCCATCTGTCTCTGCCTACTGGGTATATGTCCCCATCTGCCTTTGCCTGTTGGATATGTGTCCCTATTTGCCTCTGCATGTTAGATATGAGTCTCTGTCCACCTCTGCCTCTTAGGTATGAGTCCTCTTCTACTTCTGCTGCTTGGGTACCTGTCCCCATCTGTCTCCACCTGTTGGATATTTGTCCTTTATCCATTCCTGCCTGTTGGGCATGTGTACCTTCCTGCCTCTGCCTGTTGGATGTCCGCCTTCATCTGTCTTCACCTACTGAGTGCCTGTCTCTGCCTTTTGAGTGTCCCTCTATTTCTGCCTCTACATGTTGGGTGCCTGTTTCTATCTGTTGGGTACCTATCTGTTCCACAGCAGCTGGGTTGGCATGGGGCTTTCCCCTTTGCAGGCCCATAGAGAGGATGAGGGGGGCAGAGGGCAGCCCTTAGGCAGTGGGGAGGGGGGAAGAGAGAGGAAGGGAACATGAGGGTGTCGGCTTGGAGCTAGGAAACCACAGGCCCTGAGTGATTGGCGGACCAGGCCCAGCCCCCGCCCTCACCCTGCACATCCGCCTTGGGCCCGGCCACCTCTGAGGCAGCCCCGGACGCTGCCTGCTCCTGCCATGGTGCCTCGGCCCTGCCGGGCGGATGGAGCAGGATCCCAAGCCGCCCCGTCTGCGGCTCTTGGACCTGCTCCCCTGGCTGCCCAGGAAGCAGCGGCCCAGGATCAGCCAGACCTCTCTGCCTGCCCCTGGTCCTGGCTCTGGCTCCAGGCGGGACTTGGTGAGTTTGCCCGGATGAGCTGGCCTGGCTGTGGCCCATGGAGCAGGTGCCTGGGCAGCCAGTTTGGCCTCCACTGGCTTTGGCCTCTCTTAGCCCAGGCCTGGCCCTGCTGGGTGAGTGGACCCTGCCTAGACTTGCTTCCTGGGGAAGTGAGAAGGCACTTCAGTCTCCAGGGTAACACTGGCAGAATGGTGGGAGGGCAGAGGGTACCTAGAACAACTAGGGCCTGGCGAGAAGTTTCTAGTATGCTTGTATGAAGGAACTTTCAGGAAATGCAGCAGGGAGTGGGGCAGAGAGTCTCTGGCCTTAGCTCCTACCCACCCCATACTGGCACTTGCTGGGTTGGTGGGGGACTCCCAGGTGACTCTTGGGTCCCTATGCTTCTGAACTCTATCCTTCTGGCTAGAGGGATCCCGTCACCCATCCTGTCCAGGAACAAAAGCCCAGCTCTGCCTCCCCAATATGAGAACAAACTCTACTTCCTATTGTGGTAAAACCAAAACCTTCACAACAGGGGGAGGGGAGGACCTGGGGCAGGTCTGTGGGCCTCAGCCAGAGCCTGGGGTTGTCTCAGCCTGGCCAGCCTAGTGGTGCCTGGGCATCCCTTTGGGCCGGCGTGACCAGGCCGGAGCATCAGGAGCAATAGGAGCAGAAGGCACCTTGGTGGTTTGACCTTCCCCAGCCTTTGAGAACCTTTGGTATTAATGAATCTGGAGGCTGGCCCTGTCAGGGCAGCTTTCTGGTTGGGCCTACGGGGCCCTGTCTGCTGAGGTCTGGGGGGAGTGGACTTGAATGGGGGGATGTGCCCCATGCTGCCCAGATGGGGCCCACTGTACCCACCAGCTCCATTCCTCTGTCAGGATGAGGGCGTCCTCAAGGAGATCTCCATCACGCACCATGTCAAGGCTGGCTCTGAGAAGGCTGACCCGTCCCATTTTGAGCTGCTCAAGGTTCTGGGCCAGGGATCCTTTGGCAAAGTGAGTCTTGAGTCCACAGCTGGGAGTGAAGTACTGGTCATGTCAGAGGTGGGGGTGAGGAGTCACCTTGGGGTTCAAAGGGTCAGAGGGCAAGGGTTGATGGGTCTGAAGGAGGTATGAGTGGTCACCTTGTTACCCATGGAGGGCAAAAGGTGAAGTACTCAGAAAAGTTAGAGGTCAGCCTGGGACCTGGAGGGTGGGCCCTGACAGGGCTCAGCCCCGTCCCCAGCTTCTTCTCTGCTTTCCCCATGCTTCCTTCTCAGGTCTTCCTGGTGCGGAAGGTCACCCGGCCCGACAGTGGGCACCTGTATGCCATGAAGGTACTAAAGAAGGCAACGCTGAAAGGTGAGTGGAGGGCACCTCCCCATGTAGAGCCCAGGCTGGGCACAGGATCAAGGGAGGCAGCCCAGCTGTCTAGGGCCTTAAGTCTGATGAAGGAGATAGCTCTGTCTCCAGGAGTGCCGGGTCTGAAGGTGGAGACACAGTCCTGGTCTCAGCCACTCCTGACCCACCCACCCACCTACCTTATGGTGAAGACAGGGTCCATTCAGAAGAAAAGACTTCCAGGGTTAACCGCACCCCCAGCCACTAAGCCAAGTGCCAATGATGTAGCTAAAGGTGACTGTCTGGAAGGAGGCAGGGGGAGTGTGGCGTGTCTGTGCTGGGGTCCTTCAGATATCAGGTGTCAGGTTGGTTGGGCAAGGCCTCTGTTAGCAGAGTTGCTTCATAATGTCAGAAGTGTCTGAGGGAGACTTCTCAGGGTGGAGAAGCATGTGAAGGAAGAGGCAGGGAGCTCAGGGAGGCAGCTGGGTGGGCAGGAGAGGATGAGTCGAGGCAGGGCCATGGGGATGGATGGCAGAGCAGTTTAGAGGGAGCCCAAGCCCAGGTCTAGAATGCCAGCACTTACAGAAGGTGTGAGAGTGGTTGGTAGTGGGCTTTGGGCTAGGAAGTGACTCTGACTGGCCTGGGAACCAAGGTGGCCTGACCGGGTGGAGCAGGCCCAGGCCAGGGTGAGGTGTGTGTGGGGGTGTCGGGGGATTGGAAGTGTTGGCCTTGGGGACATTAGGGGTCATATGGCCCATTGAGGGGACTCTCTGTGGGGTTGTTTAGATTTGGTGCCCCAAGGCCAGGCTGGTAGGAGTGGGAGTCATTCTCCAGGAAGGACAGTGGGAGCCACTGGGAATGAGAAGGATGAAAAAACTTGGTCCCTGCTTTGAAGGGCTCTCAGGCTGGGGCTGGAGAGGCTGAGCAAACCCTGCAGTGTAGTGACCTGGGAGCCCAGGGGAAGGTAGATGCAGCCTCCCAGGGGGTAGGCTCACATAAGGAGTAGCCATTTGAGCTGTGCCTTGAAGAATGAGTTGAGAAGGGTACCCCAGGAAGGAGGAACTGTTTGCCTGAGCAAAAGTGTAAGGGCAGTTTGAAAATGTAAGGTGAATTTGAGAAACTGACTGGCATAGTTAACTCCAGCATGGTTCCTGACATGTCTGATGAGGGAAACATGAACATTAAAATAGAGTTTGGTAAAAGGTGCTCAAGATGGGGAAGCAAGCACTGTAGGAGAGAGGGCCTTAACTCAGCTTGGCAGGTTAAGGAAGACTTCCTGGAATAGGTGAGGCCTAAACTGAGTCGGAGAAGAACCTGCTGATGATCAGAATTTCCTAGGGACTTTTACTCTTTGAAAAAATACATGTGTATTTGGTGTTGAGCCGGGGGTTCTTGCTCAGATCCATGAATCTGAATTTGAGACCCAGGGAATCTGCCTTTCTAACTAGCTCCCTGAGTGACTGTTCTCACCAGACTGGGGTTGGAGATTTTTATGTCAGACGGCGAGGGGGCTGGTGAAGGCATCTCAGGGGAGCCCCAAAGGCAAAGGCTGAGGGCACACAGAGGAATGGGTTGCTTAGACTGGCTGGGTTGAATGGCCGGCCCATCATGGTGCATGGCGGGAGATGGGGCCAGAGGGATGGGCAGGGCACCAAGAGGCCAGCTCTGGGCACTGCCATGAGATGTAAGGAACAAGTAGAAAAGAGAGCCCTTCCTAGCCAGGGCTGGAGGGAGGCTAGACTCTTAGTGACCACCTTTCTCATCTGGCCAGTGCGTGACCGCGTTCGGACCAAGATGGAAAGAGACATCCTGGCTGATGTAAACCACCCATTTGTGGTAAAGCTGCACTATGGTGAGACCACAAACCCTACCTAAGCTCCCACCCTACCTGCCAGCCTCTGCCCTCGCTGTACGTTGCCCACCTCCTAGCAGGCCAAGGGAGCTGGGGGCAGAGCCCAACTGGTTCCACCATTGCCTTTTCCCCTCTCCCCAGCCTTCCAGACCGAGGGCAAGCTCTATCTTATTCTGGACTTCTTGCGTGGCGGGGACCTCTTCACACGGCTCTCTAAAGAGGTGAGCTGGCACCCCACTACTAGAGGGCCCCAGGATAGAGCTTGGGGAGACAATGAGGCCCCCGTCCCAGGGCCCTGCGAAGGATATGTTCAATGAGGCTTGGACCTGGGACCACCTAGGCCTGCCTAGCAGTCTCTGACCCAGGAACCCACCTGGGACAGAGCCCAAACCCTGGCAAAGCCTCTGAGAGTTTTCCCCAAGATGGGTCTGGGAGGATCAGGCCCTTGGTCCGATGCCACTGTGATAACGGGGAGCTAAGTGTGGCGCTTACCTCTCCGCCTCCGGTCTTCCAAGGCTGTGAGGCAGGACTGTAAGGGTGAGGAAAAGCCCAAATCCTCCTCCCCTCCACCCCCCGCCAGAAAGCTAGATACCATGATGTTATGTCCCAGTTATTAACCAAAGGATTTTGATCTGATATAAAGGAATTTGAGCCAGAAATAAAAATGAGATCATTGATACAATTCAAACTTTAGAAGAGAAGCAAACTTTTAAAAAATTTTTCAGATGTTATTTTAATGTTTGAATAGGTAATACATTTACATGATTGAAAAGAAAATTTTTCATTGAGCCCCTCTACCCCTACATAAGTAAACATTTTTATTGGTTTCTTGTTTAAGCTTCCCATGTTTCTTTGGAAATACAAACCATTCTGATATTTGTTCTGAACCCCAACCCCCCACTTTCTTACGTAAAAAGTACCATTCTGTGATACTGTTCTGTATCTTCTTTTTTCAAGACAATATATCTTACAGATCAATCCGTATCAGGACGTGGGGAAACTCCTTGTAGTTTGTGGCTGCACAGCACTCTGTCACGCAAGGAGAGGCAGTTACTCCCATCTTCTGCTGTCCGACCCTTGGCCTGTTCTCAGCCTTTTGCTATTTCCAAATAGGGCCACAACGAGTGACTTGTATATTAGTCATTTCACACCTCGAACCATTCCTTTATAAAGAGTAGGGTGAGTGTCACCGGGGTCTCTCAGCGCCCTCCCCAAGGGCAGGGACCAGGACCAGGAAGCCACCGACTACCTAATGCCCTAGCTCTGAGGAAGAGGTGATCCCAGCTGAAGCTCCCTCCCACCTATTGCAGGTTATGTTCACAGAGGAGGACGTGAAGTTTTACCTGGCCGAGCTGGCCTTGGGCCTAGACCACCTGCACAGCTTGGGCATTATTTACAGGGACCTCAAGCCTGAGAAGTGAGTGAGGCCACAGCCAGCCCTGCCCAGCCTCCATAGGGAGTGCAGAGGCAGGCCCTGGGGCTTCTTCTGTAATAGGGCTACCCCAGTGGGGGTGGGTGTGACTCTGTCCAATCCCCCTCCCTTGGACTGCCCCATGAATGGTTGGGGTGCAGTGGAGTGGTGGTGGCAGCAGGCTCTCCTTGGGGGCTGCCTAATCACTACTGCTATCATTACCAAGGGCCCGGCACCTCTATGCAGGTGCATCACCTACCTTTTTTGCTAATCCATGTGACCTCTGAGATGCCACCATTAAAGGTCATTCCTTGAAGTGGCTTCTCTAGAATCTTCCTTAACATCTAAATATCCTCAAATGGTAATGCGGGAGCCAGGGTCAGGTGCTAAGGTGAAATGAGTTCTGGCCTTAGATTTAGGCAGACCTAAACTCAAATTTTGTCTCTACCACCTTACATCTTGGCTCCACTAGCTCTATGACCATGAGGAGTTCTTTAACCTCCCTAAGTCTTAGCTTCCCCATTCTTAAAATGAGGCCATAATAGTACCTACCTCACACAGTTTCAAGGATTAGCAAAAAGGGTAGGCAGCACACCTGCATGGCACTGGCAGCATCCCGCTCTACCCACCCATTCATCAAATGGATCTGGGTGGATCACCTTCTCTGGGCTGGGCCAACTCCCACAAAGCCCTGTGGCATCATCAGAACCCACCAAAGAGCCACAACTGAAGGGCCCTGACTTCTCTCCATTACAGCATCCTTCTAGATGAGGAGGGCCACATCAAACTCACTGGTGAGTGGAGGGTGCCAGCCCCCTCAGATCCCAGGGGAGGGCAGGATGGGCTCTTGATGGGCCTGGGCTGAGTGCTGGTGCTGAGGGATTCGTTCTTCCTGAGAGGCTAAGCCAGGTACTTGGAAGTGGTTAAAAGCCCAGGCCCCAGACTTGCAATGGCCAGGGTTTGAACCCCAGCTCTCCACCACATAACTCTGGGCAAGTCACCTAGCCTCTCTGGGCCTCAGCTTCCTCCTGAATGTCCTGGGGGTGATGCCCTCAGGCCTCTGGCAGGAGGATGTGGTGTACAGGGAGTGGCAGCAAGGAAGGCGGGGATCCTGAAGATGTGTCCTCTTCCCCTCCTTGCTGCAGACTTCGGCCTGAGCAAAGAGGCCATTGACCACGAGAAGAAGGCCTATTCCTTCTGTGGGACGGTGGAGTACATGGCTCCCGAAGTTGTCAACCGCCAGGGCCACACCCACAGTGCAGATTGGTGGTCCTATGGGGTGTTGATGGTGAGTGCCCGGCAGGGGTAAAGCATCTAGCCCAGGCCTTGGGCCTCAGTTTCCCCATTGGTACAGTCACGGGGTTGATGGTCTCTGAGGCTCTCCTCTTGTCCCCTGACAACCCAGCTGGCCTCACCTCTACCCAGCTGTAGTTTCCTTCCTGGGAAGGATTCCAGGCTTGGCCCCACCTGGGGTGCCCGCAGTCTGGGATTGAGTCTCTCCCCAGCTTCGGGGCCCTAGAACTATTCCTGGTGTTCTGATTAACAGAGAGGAAAGGACACAACTCTTGATCCAGGTGAACCTCCAACAGGCTAGCAAGAATCCTGGCAATGGAGCTCAGTGGCCTGGGTGGAGGGAGGTGGGGGACATGGGAGATGGGACCAGAGCCTGAATAGACCTTTGTCCTTTGCAGTTTGAGATGTTGACGGGCTCCTTGCCCTTCCAGGGAAAGGACCGGAAGGAGACAATGACACTGATTCTGAAGTAAGCTCCAGCCCCTCCCTGATACCTCAGAGTCCCCTCATGCCTGTCCCTAGAGCTTGGGAACCAGAGTGATACCCTATACCTACCTCAGGTTCACCCATTAATGTGACACCCCTCTGGGTGAAGCATTATGTTTTCCAGGGCCCCTTTTCATCCACCAGGGCCTGTGGGAGGGGAATCCCAGAAGTCTTTGGGCAGTGAGTTTATGGATGGCTTGTCTGGACTGAGCTGAGAACTAGACCTGGACAGAAGGGGGAGGAGGGATGGGGCCTCTGGGGCGGGGCTCAGCCCTAATAAGACCTGGGGCTATTTCAGGGCGAAGCTAGGCATGCCCCAGTTTCTGAGCACGGAAGCCCAGAGCCTCCTGCGGGCCCTGTTCAAGCGGAATCCTGCCAACCGGCTCGGTAAGCAGCCCTAGCTCAGGGGAGGGGAGCAGGGTACAGCTGCAGTCTAGGCCATAGGGCCACATCTGGGGCTGAAAGGGACCGTTGTCCTTTGTGTGGGCAGACAATGCCGCCGGCCACCCTGCTTTCTGGCTCCATGTGTGGTGTGGGGCGGGGGGAATGACCAG